ATGAGATTCCCTACTAATGCTAATAGGTACACTGCCAAGAACAGCAAAGCATGTAAATTCTGAAGCTCCTGAATGTCAGAAAACCCCATGAGGAGGAATCCACTCATTGTGGTTATATTTGCCATGATCATTTTGAAAAAATTAATTGTGGTGGCAATTAGAAGAAAGGAGAATATGAAATACTGTAGTATAAAAATTTATTTCCATTGATTTATTCTCACTTTTACTTAAATCAATTATTTATTAAGTACCTGCCATGTACCAGCTGTGTCCTATATGTTTGGGATTGAAACATAACTCACACTCTACACTAGAATTAAACCAATAGTTGTAGCTTATACAGTTTTGATAAAGTAACAGTTCCTATCACCAAAAAATAGTCACATTTGCAGCACCAAAAAAAAAAAAAATCCAATTCCAGTAATGAAACTCATTTGTTTATTTAAATAACAAACAAAACACAAAAGCAGTGATCAGCTGTTGATTATTGATTGGTAAAGTGGATGAGTTGTATGTCTACATAGTATAACATTCTATTTGAGCAGATAGACTTAATAGCCCTTTAGAGAAAATAGAGTATTGGGCATTGGAAAATGGATTAATTGGTTGGACAGGGTAATCTCTAAGGTCCTTTTTTGACAAATAATTTTATCCTTGAGAGAGCCACTGTAACTGTTGAAACAAAAGCCAAATGTGTCCTATTATCATTCTTCAAAGTAACATTTCATCTTATCATAATGAAGAACAAAATAACTTTTGCAGAATACTTACATACCACTCTCAGATTCAGTGATTAACTTCCTAGAAATATTTTTTGCAATCGAAATCAACTATTCCTTTGAATCTTCTTTTCATTGACCCTCTCTTGCCTTTATTTGCAACATCAAAAGAGAATCTCATAAGAATTAAACTGATGAATTTTTCTGAAAATCAAGAAATCAAATTTTGGTTCATTATCCAGTATTTTGGGCTTCGTAGAAGGAAAATAATCAGGATACCTTCATTAAGGTAACAAAAACAAACATACTGCTTTTCAGTTAATTTGGACTCACAGTGACCTTGTAGTACAGTGTAGAACTGCCCCATAGGGTTATCAAGACTATTTATGGAAGCTGACCACCACATCTTTCTCTGAGGATCAACTTGTGGGGGCAAATCTTTGATTAGCAGAAAAATGCTTGGAGAGCTGATGCAACACTTTATAATGAATCCCTCATCTTCTATGATTTTTTCCAATTCATCTCTGTGAGTTCTAGGCAACATTTATAAAAACTCTTACATTAGAGTTTTCTGTGGCTTTATATTAAACTGCTCTGGTAGCGTAGTGGTTACAAATCTGGCTGTGAACCTCAGGGTCAGCAGTTCAAAACTACCAGCTGTTCCGCGGGAGAAAGATGTGGCTTTCTGCTCCTGTAAAGATTTACAGCCTCGGAAACCCTGTACAGGGTGGCTATGAGTCGGAATCGACTCCACGGCACATAACAACAACAACAACAACATATAAAACTCTGCAAGATATCACATACAATTTATTTTTGTATCTTCTTAATAATTAAAAATGGGAGATTCCTCAACCCACAGGCAAGTATTCCATACCCAGTCTTTATTATTTGAAAAAAATACTTTTTACTTTTAAGGGACTCACATGGACTCTTAAGGACAGAGGTGAACTGTTCCATAGTTTCCAAGGCTGAACTTTATTTTATGGGAGCCAAATGTCACAGCTTTCTCCTGGGTAGCAGCTAACAGGTTCAAATCTTTCAGTTAGCAGCGAAGTCCTTAAGCCACGGTGCCACCAGAGTTCCTTTTCAGTTATGAGGACTAATGAGTCACTTTACAATCAGTTTCTCATTACTTGATATTTTCTTTCTTCTGTGAGTTCTAGACAACAATTTTAAACACTATAGTGAAGGGTCTTTGTTGTTGTTGTTGTTATGTGCGGTGGAGTCGGTTCCGACTCATAGCGACCCTATACAGGGTTTCCGAGGCTTTTAATCTTTATGGGAGCAGAACGCCTCATCTTTCAACCGCGGAACAGCTGGTAGTTTTGAACTGCTGACCCTGAGGTTTGCAGCCCGATTCGTAACCACTATGCATTGGACCATGTGACCGCTCATCTATTTTTTTTTATATATGTATCTTATTAGCATCCTTAGAAATGATTACTGGGAGAATCCTAAATCTAGACCAGCACTTCCTCCACATCCCATATAATTAAAAAAAAAAAAAATGCAATTTTAATGAACATTTACATAGCAACTACTCATACACATTTTGTTTTTGTGACATTGATCGAAATCTCTGAAAGGTAACAGCATTCTTCCCACTTTCTCCCTGGGTTTGCTGTTTCCATTAGTGATGTTTCCAATGTCTTTCTGCATTTTAAGTTTTAAGATTCATTCAAATGCAAATGTTGCCCTTTTGATCTTGAATGGTTGATTGTTTTGAGCACAGTGCTTATCTCCCTGTTCACTTTATAGGCTTGTTTATCTATTGGCTGAAAGTTAAGTCATGAGAAGGAGTTCAGTACTAGGCCTAAAAGCTATCCAAGAACCATGGTCTCTGGGATTCTACAAGTCTCTTTTCAGACTGTAAACCTAGTCTTCTTTATGATTTTTATTTTCATTCCATATTTTTCTCCCACACATCCCAGGATCTCCTATTGTGATCCTTTTCAGAGTGGTGACAAATACAGTCGTGGTTATATTAGAAGATATATGGGACAAAGTCATGAAAACATCTTGAGGAAGTGAGTCACTTGCCTTGGGGTGCAGGAGGGTAGTCTCAGAGGACATCAAGGTCATCTAGCATAACATGGTCCACAAAGACAATGTTCTACCTTCCTTATCATTTGGAGAGTGCAGACCCTTTAGGCTTATTCTGCTTTCCACACTTCTCTTCCCTGAAGGTGTACCTGGCATTTAGGCATTTCATTTCTATAGTTTACTTTCTTAAATGGACCAGTGGTTTTAGAAGTGTAACAACAATAGATACTAAGTTAAGTAAAATGTTAAAAACTTTTGTTCTTGGTTCCAAATGTTAAATCTCTTGTCTTACTCTATAAAAATGAGGTGTAATGCTAATCTATCATGAATCTCACCAACTTTATCAAATTCCATAAAAACTTTGACTGATAATAAAAAAATAAGAACTAGAAAACAATCTATTAACAGCTGTGTTAGAGTAAATGTGTTTCTTCTACCATAATCTCTTCCTTTCCACGTCCACTGTTTGTCCTCTTTTTTCTTGAATTGCTTAAATGATAAACAGAATTATTTTCCATGCATTATTTTAACTTTGGTTCATTAAATATTTTAATAGTCAAATTTGCTTAAGCAATTAATTATCTTCCAACAGACAAGGGAAAAAGAGCTAAAGACTTCAGGTGTTCGTTTTTTATGAGACAGACGTCATGTTAGAAATCATTGTTAAATAAATTGTATTCATTCTACACAGACATTGTTAACTTTTAGGAGTGTAGTTCCATTTTTATAGGAAAAAATGAGACTCCAAATAATTAATTAACATGATTGAGATTTGAGTTGCAAACACTTGGACTTTCTAATTCACTCTGTTGTGCTTCATCTAAAGATTTCTAAATACTAAGGGTCATATTGGAACATTGGGGCAAGACCATAATTATACTGAAAATATATCTTGGCTCTGCCACTTCTAGATTATGTTATCAGGAATTATTTAAAAAAGTGTTTCATGGTTATCTCATCCAATACTTATATGATGTTGTGGTTGCTACATGCTGTCAAGCCAGTTCTTACCCATTGTGACCCTATATAGGGTTTCTGAGGAGCAACTACTGAGCTTGAAATGCAGATCTTGCGATTGAAATCAAGTTTGCAGTCCAGCTCATTAACTCACAATATTTACATTTCTCAATTTACTAAATTTCCTTATGGGCTCATTATTGTAATACATTTATATAAATTTAATCTTTGGACTCTTTCAATTTGCTAGTTTTCAGGGAAATAAGTTTATTTTTAAGAATCAGTAGTCTTGCTTTTTCTAACTCAATTAGAAGAACATAAGGTGTTGACAGGTTTTCCATCCACTATTTCCCTGTGTCCTCATTAAAGTTTGGAAAACTCACCACAGTTGGTGTGGATAGAAGTAACAGCTGATCTCAATTCCTCACTTTTCTCACCTGCGCTCACACAGATCTTTTAAACTTGCTGATTCCCTTGAGAACCCAGTGCTATGTGTTTTTTTTCTTCTTTGTTTTTCATCTTTCTTAATGGAACACAATGATAAAGATATTTCATGTTCTCTACCCTTTGTAAACAACACAAAATGTAATTAAAACCAATACTCTAATTTCTATAAAATGGGAACGATGAGCAGTTTGTAATATTTAATTTTTGTCATTTTAAACATTACACATAAAGTTTATTTCACTTTATCCAGCACCCATGCTCCTTTTTCCTTTTTTCCTGTTTTCCCAAGAGTCCCCCACAAAAAATTCATGAAGAGTCTATGCTTTTCCATTTCACATCTAAAACCTCTCTTTTGTTGTTATACCTA